AAGTGTTACAGTAGGTGAGGATGGGGTGGTTATGCTTGAATTCAGATCAGGTCGGCGATGCTAGATCGTGTAATTTTCTTTTCTCCTTACCCCAATTAGCGTGCCAACTAACTTTGATCGAGATAACAAAGTGTAGTGATAATAAAATCAAGAATGAAGGAAGAGCATTGTATTGTATAAATAAAGAACAACAAGTGGACAAAACGGCTGTTTACTTCTCGGCACTACCGGTCGGGATGTACATGATGATCTAAATATCAAAGGAAAGATAAAAAAATGATAATTACAATGGGCAAAAATAAGTGCTGACATGATTCTTACTGAGTACTGGCCGGCATTTTCCTCTTCAGCGTCACCTGCTTCTTCATCATCCTCTTCTTCTTCATCCCCCAAAGCGATCAAGAGGTCAGGTTCACGGCCAGCAGCTTTGTACTGAGCCCTCTTCAGATCTTGCTTGTACTTCTCGAACTGAGTGAGGAGGATGGCATCATTAGAATGCTCAGACATCATGATCGGCTTCCCAAGCAGCTGCTCCATAATCGGCACGACCGACTACAAGATGTGTTGGCAACCGACAAAGTATGTATATCGGGCCATGGAGTTGGCCCATAGATGGCCTGTTGTTAATCGATCGATCAGTTTAACCCCCCTCTTCACAACGGACCGGGCCACGAGGAAATTTTTTGAGATACTTCCTGAATGATTCAGCCAAATGCTCCTGAGCGTACTCTTTGGCAATCGTGGTGAAATTGTCGGAAGACTTATACTCGGCATCTGGGAATCAGCCTCCTAGAACTTGATCTGAGCGGCCTCAGAAGTCACCACCTTAGCCTGAGAAGCAGTCAGGTCCACACGAAGCAGGCCTAGTTCGTCCTCAAGCTTCTTCCGCAGTTCGGGCATCATGCAACAGTTGCTCCCTTGCTAGTCGGGGCGCTTTGTAGTTGCAACCCGTATAGGCCAACCTGCGGGAAACAGTCCAAGGTCAAAATCGTGGAAGGCCAAGGGGGTAGATAAAAAACGAACAAGAAACTTAAGTAGCTTTAAGGCGGCAAGGGCGGCGCCCTCTTCAGCCTCTTCGATTGACAGAGTTGGGAGGACGAAATCGTTGACAAAGGCAGAGGCTTTCCAAATTTGAGTCGCTGAACATCCCCCGTGTTCCAGAACAGTGTGGATGGGATCGGCAAGAGTAATGCGCTTCAAGCGCTTGGTGACGTTGGCCTGATCAGTCTCAGCGTGTGCCCCCACTGCCGAATCTAGTTGCTCGGCAAAAAAAGGAACGGAGTGTGCAAACTCGAACAACGGTTGATCCACCACCATAAAGTCTTGTTGTTGGTGTTCGGACAACTGAGGCTTGATCGAGTTGTGTTGTTGAGCCACTGGTTGAACCATTTCGGGGTGCTCTGACTGAACGGGCTGCTTGCCCTTCCTCTTCCTCTTCCCAGCGCAACCGATCTGGTGAAGACGACTGTTATCCATATTGGCTGGTTCGGGATTAGGAGCTAAAAAAATAGACAAAAGGAAAAGATTAGTACCGAGCGGTCAAAACGTGTGTGGAACGTGCAAACGCATATTAGTTTCCCGCACGAGAAGGACCACCCGGGCCATGTCACTTGGTTTTCAATCAAGAACTCCAGCAATTCGGGCGATACCTATCTCGGCCTGTACTAGCCGATCAGAGGTCAAATATTCCATGATCATGGATGTGTTTCCCCTCTCTAGAGCAACAATCTTCCCTCCGAGATCCCCAGAAACGAACGACTCTTTAGATTTGGGAGGACAGGCATTCCACCTCTTCGGAATAAGGCCGTTCGGGACAGAAACAAAAAAAACCGATCTTTCCATCCCTTGATCAAAGTAAGATTCCCCTTGAACAGAATCTGGCCCGTTCGGGCACTCACGGCCAGATATCTGTGGGTTTGTTGAGGGGAAACCTTGAAGAAATAGTGAAAGAGGTCTAGGCTTGACGTCACATTGACGTCGACACACCGGCAAAAAAACGCGGCCATCACTCGGTAAGAGTTTAGCATTATTTGGGCCGGAACCACCTCATAGTGATTAAGAAACTCAACATAGAAAGGGTGCAACGCAAATCTCAGCCTAGCCTTGACGAAGTCATAATGCACCACCACCATTCCTGGACAGTGCGCAACAGATGGAGCCCAGCGTGAAGACGAAAATCGACCGGGTCCGGGATGAGGATCATGATTTGGGATCTAATTTTTGGGGAAAGATTTTGCCTCCTTTTTCTGAGAGATTTCAATTTAGTTCATGGCAAAGTGTATCGTCTGGGCGACCAGCCCCACGCGATCGCCATGTCATCATCGGAATTGGCTTCATCGGAATCGTCAGCAGAATGGTGGTCAGCAGTTGCGTTCTCTGCAGCGGCACTAGTGCCCGCCGCATCATCAACGACGGCGTTGGTTGCATCTCCCCGATCCGTCTCATTGGCGGTGGTGTCTGAGGCAGAAGAACCAGAAGTACTAGAGCTCTCAGACATTTGGCAGAATGAAGAACCGAAAATAGAAGGGAAGGAAAGGCACGACGGTTACCTGAGCGGAAACTTGAAATTATGGTTTTAGAGAGAAGCTAGAGCAAACGGAAGAAGAAGCAGAGTTCGAAAACCCGAAATTAGTGGCCAAGGGGCCTTATTTATAGGTCGGAAGTGCCGATTCACCAACCAATGAAGGAAGGACACGTAGTAGGGAGCATTTCCGAAGACACGTGTCAAGCAGATACGTAACATCAGGAATCATGACTTACCTGGGAAACTCAACCAACGGCCGCCAAAACCGTCAGATCCCAGCATCAGGAATCTCCGAAGTTGGATGGCGAAATTTCGAACGGAATTTCCTAAACGGAAAGGGAGCGGGCCTTCTACTTCCTCATGTCCCAAGCACGCTCGAAACATCGGAAGTGGGGGGGCTTGTGTTGGGATATTAGGGTCCGGACCAATAACACGGCCCAATATATCCCTAAAGCCCAAGAGGAGCAAAGAAGCCCAATGAATATCAAGCGGATATGGGGGTCCCAAACAGGTTCCCAACCCGCTGAGCATGAACCGTTCAACGGTTCCCGAACGGGAGAGGTTCCATACTTGACGGATAATAGGCATCCCTATTGGCTACAAATTACACCAGCCTAAAGTACCGATCGGGAAAGCCTTGCAAGTGGCAGAGACACATTTAATGCAGGAGTATGGGCACTCAAGTGGAGGCATGAGTTCGCAAGTCGCAAGGGGGTCAACCATTGAGAGCTTGTCACGTCATCTTTATCACCTACTCACTATTAGTATAAATAGAAGCTTTTATTACATTGTAAATGGTTAGCATTTTGATACTTCACATGTAGTATACTTCACTCTAGCTCTTGTATTAAGCCATAGAACGGTTACTACCGTTCGGCCTTTTCTTTGTAATCATCATTATTACACCAATGCAATTGGAGCCATTGAGTACTTGATTCATTGATTTCTATTCTTAATCACTCTCTACTGATAAAACACATCTGATATATTCAAAGGTTTGTGTTGGACCTTTGGATCTACCAGAATTAACCTCAACAATTATATATAAAAATATTGAAATACTCCGATCCGTAATATACATCTTTTCTAAATATAAAAAAAATTGATATATTTTTGGAAAAATTTGAATTGCAAATAAAAAGTTAGAACAATTGTAACATTATACGGAGTAATTAATTGCTTTGCCACACAGCATGCAAATAGGGAGTGATGTTGACCCTCATTTGAGGAGCCAATAAAATTGATTTCAACTTCTCCCGATTGAGCAAGTCGGGGCTAATCGATGCTTAGTTTGTAGCGGTAATCATTGCCGAGGGAGAAAGTCTCTAGCGGTGAGTGCTAGTGTGAATTTCTTTTTTATCATGATGCCTTTTATTTTCTACTTTATCGATCATTAGCTGGTTTTGATCGGGCCCTCAATGAGTGGGGATAGATCCCTTTGTACTTAAATGTTTTTACTTGGACTGTAATTTGCTGGTCTGGTCTGGTCTGATCTGGTCTGGTCTGGTCTGAACTGGTCTGGTCTGGTCTGGTAAGGTCTGATTTCTTTGTATTTTTATAACTATCCAAGTCTGGTCTGGTTTGGTCTGGTCTGAACTGGTCTGGTCTGGTCTGGACTGGTCTGCACTGGTCTGGTCTGGTCTGGTCTGGGGCAAATTACAGTCCAAGTAAAAACGTCCTTAGAGTACATGAAAGTTTAAAGGCCGGTTGATAATCCTATTTTTCTGATTGTCATATTTATTACTCAACTTTTTCATCAAACACATAATTTTTTATTTCGTGCGTTGAATTGCGTAATTTCCGTAATAAAAAAAAGTAAGGTTGAAATTATTTTTCTGGCTATTTTGACTTAAGTTACTTTAGAAGGTCATTTTAACTATTTTTTATATAATCTTTTCATTATTTTATTAATGAAAAATGGTTTTCTTTTTTGAAAAATCAACAGAATCAAACAATTCTACCACTTCAGCCAAATTTCATAGATTTCAACATAGTCAACGATTTAGTCAATTTCTGTGTTGCCCCTTTCTCATTTAACTCCATGGTCTTAAATTGCAAAACTTAAAAAAATGTAATTGGTGATAAGCTAATCAATCTTTAGAACCTTTATCTGAAATGCCCTTATATAGAAATACTCTACTTCGAATTGTGTCTCTCTTGGTAAAACGGTAAATTGAATTATAAAAACGAAAGACTCAGAGAAGAATGCTCGTTTGGTAATCCTTTCCCCCGACTTATTAGTCCATCTATCAATTTTTTTTATCAAACACACAATTGTTAATTGCGCGTGCAGAATTGTGTCTAATAATCAAAATCAGTCAAGTTTTGATTACTTTTGTGGTTGAATTTACTAAAGAGAGCAATAATATGTAGCTATCTTTCATACTACCTCCGTCCCATATTGGTTGTCCACTTTCAATTTGACACGATTATTAATGAAGTGGTTAAAAAGTAAGAGTCGTGGTTGAGATTTGAGTAGAATAAAGTGAAATGATAAGAATCACATATTTCTTGCCAAAAAAGGAAACATGACATTCATTTTGGGACAACCAAAAAAAAAAATAGGACAACCAAAATGGGACAGACAATTAAAGAAAACATGCGTGACATTGCTATACGCAGAGACTGAAATAAAGGTTACTTCTATATTAGAAGTGTGGGGGGCTAAATATATTAAAAGAAGAAAATTTAAAAGAAGTGAAGTATAGTTTGTGTATGTGTAGTGTTTTAAAGGATCAAAGGGAAGTACGTATATATTGTGGGAAAGCTAGCAAGGAGCAAGAAAGCGACGTTCCATCATTTTTATAGTATGGAGCCAACAAAAACCTTTAGTTTTGTGCAACCTTCCTTCCATCATCATTATTATCATTAATTAATTAATCAATCCTCAATTGATTCTTCACAAACGTCCTCCAAATCCGCCGCACCCATTTTGAAGGACAGCCTAAGCCTCCCGCCCGACCTGTTTTCTCGGAAGAAAGAGTCGGGTCGGGTTAGGCACACGGCGGTCACCACCAACCGGCCGCCTTCCCGACGCCGCAGCAACATCTTCACCCCATCCTCGCGCTGCTGATCTTTCGCAGAACTTAGAGGAGGCGGGAAGCTCTTGGTTCTGTTGAACTTCCTGCTCGCAATCATCACCGGCGGCCTCCCGGCCGGCATGGTCGGTGGCGGAGCGAAACTACCCTCCGGCGCCGGCGCCGGATTGCCCAGCAGGTCGTCCATGCTTTGGGTAATACCGAAGCCAGTTTCACAGCCCAAGCCCTCAGTACACATCTCCAGGCTTTTGGAACTGAGAGTGGACAAGGAGCGCTTCATACGGCGCGGTTGAACGTGCGCCACCTCCCCCGCCGCGTCGGCCTGCAGCTCCTCCACGAGAAAGCTCCACCCGCCGCCGGAACAGTTGTCGTTCATGCTGCTGCTCATCTCGGAAGCGCCGTCGTCGGAGGAGGAAATGGTGGACGATTGTTCGGGGGAATCCAGTTCGTCGTACATGGTGACGTCATCGTCGTCGGAGCCTGTCTCCCGATGACACGAATGCGGCGGCGGCGGCACCTTTTCATCCTCATCACAGACAAAGTGGCCGCAGCTTCGAATATTCATCATGTTTAATTTCTTTTGTGGTCGGCCGAGAATCTGGAGACCACAAACAAACAAATTACTGCTTAAGTTGGAAGCTTAATTATCTATGTAATTTATGATTTGCAACCCAACGGGGAAGTGTGGGGTATTTATAGCTAAATATCTCTCCCAAAATTAAGGGGGTTATTTTTAAGGGGTAATTTGAGTTTGCACCCCATTTTATTGTCCAAGTTAGACTTTGCACCTCGTTTTTAGAAAACTTTGTTTTTGCACCCCAACCCCATATGAAAAGACAAAATGACCTCGATCAAGAATATGTTGAAGGTCAACAAAATTGTTAACGGAGGGGCATTTTTGTCTTTTCATATGGGTTGAGGTGCAAAAACAAAGTTTTTTAAAAACGTGGTGCAAAGTCCAATTTGCACAATAAAATGGTGTGCAAACTCAAATTACCCCTATTTTTAAAGTGTTTTTGAATAAAATGCTTAATAGTCAAAATTGGTATTGTATCAAAAAAAAATTGTTTTTGAAAAAGTAAAAGAAGGCAGTTTTTGATAAATTAAGTGTTTTTTTGTGTAATAGTAAAACTGAAAAACATTTTAAAGCATTTTCCCACATGCTTACAACTTTTAACTTTTGAATGCTTAATTTAATCAGAAATTGTCGCTTGTAAACAATCGTTTCAACTTTTTAAGTTAAAAGCTTAAAATCACTTTTCTTAATCATTTGTAACACTACCTAAATGACAGTATTATACATAGCCGTTATGCACTATACACGGACTACCTAGTCCAAATATATGCTTTTAGTTTTTCTAATTGTTCAATTCACCTTTTTTCCGGTAAGAAAAGTAATTTTTCCCTCCTACGAAACTTGTCTTTTGTTAACTTTTTCTTAATCAATGATAATCAAGTTTGATCAACAATATTCTTCAATACGAAATTGTTTACAAAATGAAAATTACATTAAAACGTTACTCTTAAAAATATTTTGTTATAAAAAATATATAGTTTTTATTTTATGCTAAATTATTTGAATTAAACATGTGTTTTTATTTGGAATGATTTCAATCTGATATCAAATTATACCATACTACATCTAAATAAATCAATAGATCAAACCATACTTCCACAATTATAAAATTTGTATAGAACATGCATTTAGCAGCTAAACTCAAATATTTAGACCAAATTAATGACAAAATTGAATCCAATTAAAAATTACATCATTATCATTATTCCTCAGAGTTTACGTCACGTCTCAAAATTAATGGGAGCAAAGTACTCCGTCGTTTTTACGGAGTATAATACCCAATGGGAGCATGAATTTACAAAGTACATCATTATCATTATTCCTTATATTTTAGTGCCTAATGTTTACCTTTGAACCCAAGCACCAAAATGTTAGGGCCCGGCCAATCATAGAACGTGGTCGGTGGAAAATATTAGCAGAACTTGTCCCCATACATATTGCATATTTTATATTCCCTCCCTATTTTAATGTTCACTATTAGGTTGGACACATTATTTAAAAAATAAAGTAGTATAGGTAATGGATGGTGTAACAAAGGTAGGAGAGAGTGTGTAAAAGTATGAAAGAGAAGATAAAAAGTAACAAAGTAAGAGATAGTTGGGTATTTTATAAATGGTAAACTTACCAAAAAGGCTAAAAGGTCAAATAAGCCTCTGTACCGGTTGTGTAAGCTCCATTCAGTCCTCGAACTAAAAAAAGGTTCAATTCACACCCCGAACCCGAAAAAAATGGTTCAAATTTCATGTTTTACGTGTAAACAACTGATTATTTTTTTCAGTTGTTTCTGTTTTTTTTTTTTAATTTATTGCAAATTTGACATTTTTTAATAGTTTAGGGGTGCGAATTGGACCTTTTTTTACCAGTTGTTTAACCTTAAAAATGAAATTTGAACCCTTTTTTGCCTGTTTGGGGTGTGAATTGGACTTTTTTTAAGTTCATGGACTGAATTGAGTTTACAGGACCGGTACAGGGGCCCATTTGACCCTTTAGCCTACCAAAAATGGAAGTGTATGGAACTTTTAAATACGGAGGGAGTATTAGCTGACAAGTAAAAAACAGAAAGGTGGGCGAAATCATAAATTAATTACTTTAATTGGAAAGTGACTAATTTGCAAAAAAATAGGACAATAAATATTTAAAAGTGGGCAAAATCCAAAGAAGTTTTTATTGCTCGGTCAGTTTAAGTTGATATTGGTTCCAACAGATAAATTCACTACTTTCATTATCATTTTCTACCTCTTCAGGTGTTCAACCACTTCGTGAAGGTAAAGAAACTCATGGACAAAACAATTCTATTATTTCTAGTGGTGAGATTTGAACTCAAAACCTCCCACTAGTGGAAGACTTGATGGTGGAGGGCCAAGTAAGAGGTCCACTCAACCAACTTGCACTATACACGTAAGTATATATAAATACTCATTTTTGTTTGGAGAACTCATACGGAGTTTTATTTAACTTAATAAAAGATTAAGATATACAAAGCGTCAATGAAGGTCGAAAGTTAAAAAAGAAAATTAGACGACACTAAGATCATCTCCAATGCTACAATGTGCACGGTACACATGTGGTATGAGAGAGATAGACACACAAAATTGAATTTATGACATTTCTCTCTCATTCTTTCTACGGTTTGATGTGTTTTTGGTAAGTTTTTCTCTGCAATGTCAAGCAGAATGTCTACATCTAGACATTGTGAAGAAAAACTTACCAAAATGATACAAGATCCTTCAAATAAGGAGATAGATATTCTATTTATTATTTTTTAATTGGCTATCTCTCATGGCACATGTGCACCGTTCACGTTTTAGCATTGGAGATGCTCTAAAGAAAGAAGTTAAAGATATCTATGACTCAGCCAATCAACATTATCCAGTCAAGCTACTTCCCTAATATATGCCAAAAAGACCAACAACCCTAAAGCGCTTAACTCGTAACAGGCAAAACCCTAGCTTGAACTCGAGCACTTTTCCTAGGTGCTAATTGAGATCTTAATTTCCAATTTGGATCGCTTAGTTGATCAAGCAACTCATGATCAGAATCATAACCCGAGGATTCATATCTTCTGAATTGTCAATAGCCTCGACCTGTGAGACACCCTATAAAGTCACCATGTACTTGCTCTTCCTTCTTCCGTAAAAGAGGCCTTAAGATGAATAACATCAATGACCTTCTTAACACTCCCTTCGGTTTTACCACGAGTGACCAACAATTTCCCCTGTGATGCCCCTCATATTCCTCTATACAATGGTCTTGGCAAATAGAAACCTCTAGATCCAAATGAACTTTCTCTGAATTGGGAGAAGAAATACCATATTTAAGCAGGTCTTGCTTAAATACCCTGGAAGCGATTTATCCCAAACGTAACTATCAGTCCCAAACAACAAATCGGCACAAACTACCCCGTGATTAGTCAAATCAGTTTCCAATGCAACCTTTCTTCACCTTTTGTAACACATCAACATGTCTTAGTTTAGTGGTACGTATTAATCAGTTTAAAATTCAACCCATTCGCACCTTCAGGTATAATACAAGTATTAATAGTCCTTAAGATCGGGGGTAGTAAGATTTGAGCGTGAAAGTCGAAAAGTACAAGTACGAATTGAGTAGAAAAAATGGCAGAGTAATGGTATTCCATGAAATGAGTTTCGGATCCCCCTTCAACTAGCCGAAAGGTGAGTAGTTATACTAAAATATCTGATATTTAGGGAGTGTTTGCAACTGCTTAAAAAAAAGCACTTCTCAGCTTTTGGCTTTAAAAAGCACTTATTTACCAAACACTACCAATTTTTACTTTTTCTCGGCTTGCGTGTGAAAAGTGCTTTTCCCTTTTCTATTACACAAAAAGCACTTATTTTACCAAACACTACCAACTTTTACTTTTTAAAATCACTTTTTTCTCAAACACTATCAACTTTTACTATCAATCACTTTTTCATTACTTCTCCAAAAGTGCTTTTTTTTAAGCAGAAGCAGTTGCAAACACTCCCTTAGTGAACAAAGGGTATGCCCTTTCTTCTAGACTTGTCCCCCTCTTCTTTTGTACCTTATTGTTTCTTAATACAATTTGGCAAATGTTTCCCATCATTTCCCCCACCGGTTTTGGTAGTTTGCCTACCGGGTTAAAAAAATAAAAATAAATATAAAATCTAATATTTGGTGAACAGATAAAAAATCTAGTCTAGAAGAAAGTTCCACGTGTATAGGTTAATTGGTGAGAAAATCATTTATTGATACTTTGACGTTTTCCTTCAAAGTATCCGGAAAGTACGTTGAAATGTTGAAGTACACACATTTGTGTCGTGCGCCAAGCTCGGTTTGACGTGAGTTTAATGGTGTCTAGCTTAGACGACATAGAGCTCAGCTAAGAGGTTACGAAGCTGGGTGTCATATATATCACAGGGCTCAACTCGGGCTATACTTCACTCAGGAGTGGCGACCTCTAGCTTATGTATTATAAGCTCGGTCTAAGCAGTAGCTTGAGTTAACATGTTGATCCCGGACTTCTGATGGCGGATTAAGACTTGGCTTATAGTTTAGGGTCCACCTTGGCGGTTTGGGGCCCTGCTATGGCATTGACCTCGACTCAGGTGTGAGCTCAGTCTCGTCTCCAGTTTTCAACTTATCTCGATGATCTGAAACTAGGTTCAAGATCGCCATCGGTGGGCTCAGACTCGACTAGATGCTATTGCCTTAGTCGATTATGGGGGCTCTTCCCTTATACGGTTGTGACCACTGAGGTATGTGATAATATACTCCGGCCATCAAGTATTTCTATCCCTATTATCAAATATCACCAAATGAAAGAAGCCTCTAAACATATTTGTTTCCAAAGATAAGCTTAGATTTCATGAATTTTCATATCGAGTGATTGTCTATGAACTCTAGGACTGAAGACGCCAAAAAGCTTCACATAACCATTCAACTCCATGCACATCAAGATCCAAAGAAAAAATCAAGATGTTTGATTTGAGTAATTCGAAGCATTGTAGATGCTGCATAGAAGCACAAAAACTTACTTTCTATTCTGATCCGTGGAAATTGATTTGAACTAGCCAAGGTATAGATACTCATATACTCTGATGTAGCTCTACTGTACACTTTAAAAAAGTATGAGTCTCTACCAATTTGGTATTGTAGTAATACAATACGCTTTATGTGTATTGTACATACTTTTGAGATTAATCCTTATACTTAAAATTTGATAATTAATAAGAAATTTTCCTAAATAGGACTAAAACGTGGTTAAAGTTCCCAAATAAGAGTTTAAGTTTTATATTCCCTAAATAGGACTC